TGAACGCTAAAGACGTCTCTTCTAGGTCACCTTGAAATGCAACAGAACCGCTGCAACCTCCCGCATACGTCCGATCTCACCCCTCCGCTGGGCTGCAGTGAACTCCTGGATTAACTGCCGCTCCAAGTCGTGGTATTTACCTGGTTACATAAAAAAAAAAAAAAAAAAACACATGCAAAATGTAATATAACCCCCACGAAACTTCAAATATATTGATACTAGAGACAGTTCAGAGTAGCCTACAGTAGCTGAGGAGTACTGTCACAGACTTACTTGCAATTTTTGCCTTGACATCTGCAAATCTGTCACAAAAAGAAAATCATAAATGACTAAAGAGGAAATTACAAATTAGAAATCAATATAAAAAGGAAAAATTAAAGTGGGTTTTTATTTTTAGAAACGATACTGAATTAACATGCTGCAACGTTTGATATGTTTTTGTTGGGCTTACACTGTGAGGAATAGACGACATAACTAACACACCACCTTCCTCTTGTTTGACAGAGCTCTTGTCTAAAGCTGCCTCCAGGGTGCCTGACTCACCTGTCGAATGGCAGCTCCTGGGCAATGAGATGCAGCTTCTGAATGATATCAGCAGCCTCCTTAATCTGAAGAAGAGAGAGAGAGAGAGAGAGAGAGAGTGTGAGTGCGAGTGTGTGAGAGAAAGATGTCAGGTGGGGGACAAAGAGAAGAGAGCACGACGGGACCGTGTGAGGTGGACATCCAGACAGAAACTGGCAGAAAGTGGGCAGGCCGCCGGCAGTGTCTCCACTTGGGGGATCATCATCTTAGAGCAGCCCTCCTCCACCTCCCCGTGTTGAACAGGGAGCTGATAACAGACAGGCTGCGCTCACCTGGGCATCGGCAGCAGCAACAGCAGCAGTCCTGACTTAGCAGCACATCCAACTCTTTATTGGCATGCCTTTTCTGAATGGGCTGTAATCCCACAGGAGTCTAAATCGCCTTCAATAATCTGTCCGGCCAGGGATATCTGTCTAAAAAAGGGGGCCCTGTCGAGAACCCCCCCCTCCCCCCCGCCCCTCCCGACATACACGCTGGCTGAAAAAGCCCCAGACCAACGAAAGGCCCGCCGTCCGCAACTCCTCTGTTCCCGCAGATGCCTGCCTCAGCTAACATCATTACTCTGCTCCCGTGAGGAGGATCCAGCCTTTCTGCTCGGCGAAGGTTTTCTAAGTATCTGTCCCCCAGCTAAGATTAGCTAAATCCCATGTAAGTAATGTAGCCGTCTCCCTGCAGTCAGGGTTTAGCAGCACTTGTCTCCACGCTGGCGGCCCAGCCCTCCCTTTCAGAAGGATTAGCAAAGCCATCCCCCTTCAGCTATTCACTTGCAGCTTTCCTCTTTCCCCCTCGTCTGGAGGTATGCTCAGGAAAAGGAATCTGGCCAGATATTTCTGCATGCCTTTCCGGAAAACTAGCTCCATCTCCAGCTTTCGTCTCTGGGATTGACCCCCAGACTCACTTCTCTGCATCCCACTAATGATGTTCCTAGTAACAAGAATTAATCTAAAGCATCCCAGTCTCTCTACTGTCACAACAAAAGTGTGGAATCAAACTTTTAGGGGCCGCTTGTCTACCATCAGCATGGCCTCTGCGTAGACAGAAACTGAGTGTGTGTTTCATCTCCCAGCATGCATGTTATCACTGCCCTTACATGTACCATCTTGCTACAAGCTCTTTCCCGCTGTAATGCGACACAAAGCTGAGGACCAACCAAATTCTTGCTCCTAGACAACCTACTGTAAATGCAATTAGGTTTGACATGAGCATGTTGACATCCATGCTAGTCAATCAGCCAGCTATTGTCAGACAGCAAATGACAGTTTATTAATCCAAATTAGCCAAGGGATCCAACTAAAGGGATAAACTTGACAAATTAATATGGATGGTTTACCTCGTAATCCTGTTCATTCTCACCTCCAGCAGTATCACAGCAGGGACCCTCATCAGTGGTCACACACACACAAACACACCTCCACTGATATGAATGAAACGAACATGTGCAGCGCGCTCACCTTGTCTGGGTTATTGAAGACGTCACTGCGTAGGTCTCCATCCAAGAACTCATTGAAATAGGTCATCAGACGCTGAGCTTCCACGGCCCTCTGGCGAGGCGTGTTGACCCCTTCCAGCTGGTCGCCAAGGTGACAAACCTTGGTGGCCACATAGCTAATGTGCTCATCAAGCTCTTGGAAATGCTGGAAGGCCACCTGAATTGACACAAACCAAAAAGGGCGTCAAATAGAAACACAGATCATTTGTGACATGATGGATTTCAGAGATATTAAGATGAGGTCACTGAGTTCATTTCACCACACAAACCTGGTTGCTTCTCTGTAAGTCTTGCACTTTGTGGGCAAATTCCTTGGCCTCGCGATGACACTGGTGCTCAAGCTTCTCCACCTTCCGCTGGATCTTCTCATCCAGTTGCTTCAGCTCCTCGATGTGGTTCTCAAACTCTTCCAGCAGCCTATCACAGAGGAGAAAAGGTGCAAACATTCAGAGCCTTCCTCTGGTCCAAACAACATAAAGTAGATCTTTGACAAACAACAGGTTCGTGTAAGGAGTAATTGCGTTCCACAAGGTTAAATCTGTCCCACTGACCTCACAGTTACAGTTAATAGTTACAGAATAGTGCCAGATGCTTAATTCCTGGGTCCCCAGACTTAAGAAGCTCTGAAAACTAGCAGCTTCGTCAGCTGCATTTTAAGTGCCATCAGGACTGCAGAGCAAATGTTCTAAGTCAGCACCACATTTCACAGAGTGGAAACATCCCAAAATGATGAGTGTATAATCTCCTGACTAATTCCCTCAGCACTGGCTATAGCTTAAAGACATCTCCCATCCCTTCCCAACAGACACTCATTCCCTAGCTGGTGACTCACAGTATGGTGGCCTCCACAGATATGTTGTCTCTGACTCTTCACTAAGAGCTTCCGAGGAGGTGGTGGTGGCAACAGTTTGTGGAGGGAGTAGATAAGGCAGGACGGATCTACAGTATAGTTAAACTGTTGTGGCATTTTTGCTTACGAGATGCAACTCTGTTCCCGAGTGTAAACATCATAACAAACATGCAAAGGATTTTTAAACATATTTATTTCTCGATTTTCTCCAACCCATCAAAAACTGTAATTTAGTGTAGCGGAGATTGAGATGAGCTTTAGTAAGTGCAAGTGGAGTTGCACTGTTTTTTTTTTTTAGAAAGTTGATGTTGACAGTTGTGAATAAATAAATAAGAACATATATTACAAAATAAAAACTTAAACCATATTGAATTACTTTGATATATTATTTTTGGAACCCGAATGAAGTGGGGAGACGCTTACTCTTGACCCGATCAGACGTTGTCGTAATGTACAAACAACAGCCGCAGTAACAGAAAAATAAAATTAATTTTTTGAGGATGAGAGAAAAACAAATTCACACAGATGGACATGTTTTATTAATGTATTAGTATTACCCTGATTTGATAGAGAAAAATGTCTTCATTAAAGCAACTGATTTATTTCAGAAAATGTTTGAAAAGATGAAAAAATAATTATATTGTGGCCAGAGAGACTGAATGAAGAGGTGGCATTGTTGAAGAAAATTATTATACAGCCAGTGATCAGGTGTGAGATTATAAATTCATGAATAAACCATCCTCTTGAGAATTTAGTTTGCTACTGCAATACTAGTAATTAGGCAAAATGTGCATAAAGACAGCAAAGCTAAATGAATACAAGAATAGTTCATACAGCATATTATCTGTGAACTTTAGTAAAAAGCAACTGGACTTTTCCATGTGTGTAAAACTAATAGGTCAGTGATGAATCAAGATATTTTTGATGGAGGAACTTTGCGGGCAGAGGGCTCAGAATTGCATTAAAGGTATTTGATAATTGGTGACATAGACCCCGTCCTCTGTTTAAAGATAGCTGCTTCAATTTAACAGAGATGGCTTCTCTCACTCCTCTCTCAAATCATCTGTTTTCTCTGTCTAGAATGTGAGCACTGCACCTATTAAAACAGAGAAGTCTATCTGCTTTCCCCTGAAGCTCTTAAGGTTGTCTGTGTGTTGTTCATTTCTATATACGCTTAATAATGCAGCATCAGTGAGCTGCTTTTAAGGTAATGTAAGGCTGCAATAAACGACTTAGTATTCAGTAGCCAGACAGATGGCAGTCCACTGTGTTATGTCCTCACATTTAAGGGGATTGAGACGTGGACTGTAAATGTTTATGACAAGCACTTAGAGTACCTTTTGGGGTCAAATGCCTCAGCTCCTCCTTTGGAGCCTCCTCCAGGAGTCCTCCATGCCAGCCTTTCAATGTACTCATCTGCATCAAAGGGCTCCTAAAGGGAGAGAAAACAATGAGTGAGGTTATGACTACCTCAAAATACAAAATCAGTAGGCCTTCCAGCAACAATAAAACGACATTAAACAGTTCAAGCCGTCTGATAAAACGTCAACGTCACACTCAAACTACATGAGCTCTGATTTTACTGCACACAGACCACCAGTAACTGCTACATCCTCCAAAAAGCGAACTCATATAAATTTCTTTCTAGTTTACGACATAAAACCAGTTCCTTCCCAGCAGTGCAGGTCTTTAGTAATTCCTAATTACACACTGTGGAGATAAATAAGGTCAGGACCGTTAAGCTACCGTTAGTGATAGTTAGCCACTTAGCTAGCCTCGTAGCTAACAGTCGTTGCAGCAGTCATTTTTTTTTACCTCGAACAGCTGAGCAGTTGTCGCCATATTCAAAGGTCCAGCTGGCGGCGCAGTGAGATGAAATTTAGGAGAAGGAACACTGCGTCGGCAACACCGCCGACTTCTGCATGGATTTGGTGGTTTGGTACAGTTTTGTCCTTTGTTGACAGCTAGCTGGTTGGTGAGCCAGCTTCCTGTATGGGAGAGAAGGGTGGGGACAGCTGCCGCGAAGTGCGCAGGCGCGAATGTCAGCTGATTGGTCGGAGGTGTCACATGAGCCGCCAGCAGGAAGGAAGTCACAGCGTTGGTGATATTTACAACACAGAGAAATATCTGAAACTACTGCACGACAAGATGTAAATATGAGCCTCTGAAGTTGCTTTTTTTTTGTAAACTGAGGACTTCATTGCAGCCGGACAAATGACTATACGTGCTTTGTGGATTATTTCTCAAGAAAAAGGAGAAAATGTGTCAATACGCTTTTCAAGGTTTGTGACTGACTTGTCATTCTTCTCGTAGATAGACTTGTTTTGACGTAGAGGATCAACTCTAATATTATTACAGTTAAACTGAAACACTGCTTTCATGAAGATTTTAAATTTCATTCTCTCAAACAATGATTCGGGGAGTCAAACAGTCCTGATGTCATTAGATCTTAGTGCAGCATTTAACACTGTGGATCATGAACTAGTCCTACATAGACTGAAAAAATGACTCTCAAGTAGCTCAGATCATTCTGGCAGAGGGTCTGTAGTGAGTATTAGTAATCAATGATGTATGAAATTACTTGTCCCTCACATTCCATTTTCGATCTGTGCATGCTTCCCCTATTCCAAGACTTTAGGGTTTCTTATTAAAGCATGTAGATCTATGTAGTGCTGCAACAAAACGTCTATCAACTTAATCAAGACAAAACTGAAATAATTATATTTGGCAATAAAAAGTAAGAAGACTGGAAATCCTGGAGATTCAGAGACTAAAAACTAACATTCAGGTCAAGAATCTAAATGGGATCATTGACAAAGATGGAAATTTCAGCAGCCTAATGAAACCTGAAACTAAATCCTCACTCTGGCGTCTTAAAAATAGCCAAACTCAGAAACTTTGTGCTCCAGCAAGATTTAGATAGACTCATGCATGCTTTTATTACTTCTAAGGTGCACTACTTTAATGCACTCTTCGCTGACCTCCCTAATGAGACATTTGCAACTCATTTAAAATGCTGCTGCTAGACTACTGACAAACACCCTGAAGGGAGAGAGAGAGAACACATTACTCCAGTTCTTAGACACCTACCCTGGCCTATAGGTAAATACAGATAAACATATTTAAGACCCTTTAAGTCTCTGAATGGTGTGGACATAGAGATATTTTGATTACACACCTGGAAGGTCACTCGGATCTGCAGGGAATGATCAGTTGGTGGGAGTTCAGACCAGATACGATGATATAGTCTTTAGTCATTATGCTGCCCAGTGCTGGACCCAGCTCCTCTTAGAACTTAAATTAAACCTAAATAATTCAGTTTTTTAAAATAAAGTCTTGTCTGAACTTCCTGTACTTTTAATAAAATTGTCTCCACCTTTATCCTCTTGGTGAATAAGTTTCATAAAATTTCTAAAAAAGAAATGAGTGTTCACTTTCTTTAACTTGTCTGTTGTACTTCAAATATGTCTGATTGCATTTTGTCCTGTTGTATTTTGTATTTTATCTTTTGCATGATTACATTTACAACACTAACATCTGAACATGATTGGTGCTATTTAAATAAACAGTATTTTTCTATGCCTTTTGTCTTCCCTCACAGGAGGTTTTCTACTGTGGAGCACCGTGCAAAGAGTCTGGCAGGTTCCTCATACGTAGCAGTCCCAGAGGAAAGCACCGTCCTGCAGCTCCTGCTCACTGAGCTCGGGCTGTCGGACCCAGACAAGGCTTACGTAGCTCTCAGAGATGATTGCCTTCACCGTCCTCGGTCACCAGCCCTGGAGCTGCGTGTGGATGGTCCTGGAAAGGGAATACTGTGGCCGATGTTGGCCATCTCACAAGGGCCTCTTATCCTGGCTTGCCTGCCTTTAGTGGATGTCCCTCCTGAGCCGCGGCCACCTCTGGCCAGCCTGCTGTCGGTCTCTCAGGGTCTCACGCTTCTGGCAGGCCTGCAGACTTTTCTTCTTGGCTCAGGGAGTAAGCCTGATGGTGAGGGGCTGGTCTCTCGTCTGGCAATGTTGCCCTCTGTCCTCCTGCAGGTTTGTCCACTTGGCACACCTCTTGATGTGCCACTACTGGGGCCACCTGCTACACCCACATTGCCTGCTTCCGCTGGGAACCAGAAGCAGCCCGCCTGGAAGACAGGACTTCACCGAGGCCGAGCTGTGGTCAACGTAGCACTGACAGAAACAGTACGCTCCATGCAGTATGGTAACCGGAGCAGACAGGACCTGTGGGATGTTTTTGGCACTGTGACATGCAAAGTAAGTGCCTAGTGTAATGAAAAGCATCTCATGTCATAGCTTTTAGCCACCCGCTCTCCTACCTTGTATGTGAATGCTTTCCTGTCCTTCTGTTCACAGTGTGAAGTGGAGGGAGTGCTACCAAATGTGATGGTGACCCTCTCACTGCCTCCAAATGGTTCTCCACTGCAGGACATCCTGGTTCATCCCTGTGTCACCTCTTTAGATTCTAGTATCCTGACAGCTAGCAGTGTGGATAACTGTGACGGCTCAGCTTTCTCTGGGCCATATAAGTTCCCCTTCTCCCCTCCTCTGGAGCCTTTCAGACTATGCAGCTATACTTCTCAGGTATGAACCTTAACTTAAGATCCAAAAGCTTTATAATTACATGCATGTGTGTTCATTTTGTGAAGGACTCCTTTTGAAATTCATTTTTTTCATCAGGTCCCTGTTCCCCCCATCCTTGGTTCCTATCAGCTGAGGGAAGAGGAGAACCAGGTCCATGTGTCGGTAACCCTCAAGCTTCACGAGAGTGTGAAGAACAGCTTTGAGTACTGCGAGGCACACCTGCCGTTCTTTAACAGGTAAATGGCACAAGAGAACAAAACTGTTTATAGCTTCTTGCCCTTTGTTGTCTTTGGTGATAGAAATATGATCCTGCAGTGATTAAGAAATGAATCTCTTGTGTGAGCCCCTTTAACTGCCTAGAAATCAGTTGCATGAAGACAAACTAAATGGTTTTGGACACATATTATGGTTTCTAATGTACTTAAGGAATTCAAAAATATTCAAATTAGAATAATCAAGGGTGCTCCTACAGCTCACCTAGTTGAGCGGGCGACCCATGAACAAGGGCTGTAGTTCCCCAACGCAGCGGTTGTGGGTTCGACTTCCTTTGCTGCAGGTCTCTCCACATTCTTCTCCCCTCTTTCCTGTCTATCTCTACTGCTCTAAATAAAGGCGAAAAGCCCCCAGAATAGATTTTTAAAAATTAGAATAATCAAGTATTTTTTGAAGAAAAAGTCCTCCAAAAGACAGTCTCTTACATTTGTAATATAAATCAGTGCCTTCCAGCCTCCTTATTCAAATTGTGCAGCTGTATGGAAAACACCTGCACTGATCTTGGTCCAAAATGTGATAACTTAGTCACTGAAACTAAAACTCTGGGTGCGTTCAAACACCCATACTGCCATGCTATACAGTATGCCAGGAAAAAAATAATTAGTATGTCCCAATACATAGTACGTCAAAGGTGATGTGCCAAAAATACCTGCATGTCCTACTACGTCTGATGAGATTTCGCAGTCTGCGAGCCAGCGTGCTTTTCTGACCATTCTGACTCATAATTCTCTGTGCGGTTACATCACATGCATCACAGTGTCTCTCGCCAGTATGAACAAGCTTGAGTCACAGAGAGCACGCAGACAGATAACGGCTCACTGCAGACTGCGATGGTAAAAGCTTAAGGCGCAATATTGTGATGAAGTAGAATATACGATTTGGAATGCAGCTTACGTCGTGTAACCATGTGGTAAAATGCTCTCTAAGAAAAAAACAGAAACGTCGTACGAAAAACCATTACGGTGTTTGGTTCATACATGTGTTTTCTGGGGTCAGAGATCATGTTTTGTCCTGCGTGTGTGTGGATATTTTACCTCACAGCAGTAACGAACTCATGCTGATTAATGTAAACATTTCTTCAGCTGCGTGGTTGGTAATAACATCTGTGTCTGTGCAGAGATCAGATGGGAGTCGCTGAAGTGAAGGTGAGCTACGGACAACTGGACGTTTCAAAGGAGAAAAACCTGCTGGTCTGGGTCCTCGGTAAGAATCGTGCTTCTGTGTAAAAACTCATTTTTACCGTTGCTGTAAATTTCAAAAGGTAACTAATGACTTCATTTATTCTCACTGTTATGTAGGACAAAAGTTCCCAAAGTCTCTGGAGGTCACAATGGAGGGAAAGATCAGCTTTTCTGGGCCGACGAAAGGACCTGCTGACCCCCTCTGCACTGGACTCACTGCCTACATTAAAGTAAGTTGGTGGTTGTTATAAAAATGAGCAGCAGGTCAAAACCTTTATGGTCTTTACATACGGGTCAAATGAATTTAAAGACAAGATAAGAAGATTTATTATTCATAGTACAGCTAATCTCTAGAAATGAATTAATATACAATTACTACACTGTGAAATAATTAACAAACTCACTATTTTCTTGACAGTTGTATTTCAAAGTGCCTGACATGACGTTATCTGGGTGTTGCGTCGACCAGCACTCGGTGCAGGTTTATTCTTCTGCCAAACCACGGATTGCAACGTGTGAGTTCACAGCAGTGCCAAAATGTTTGCTGCATGCGTGTAACTTACATGAAACTAAAGGTGTTCTCTCTGTCCCATTCTCAGCCCGAGAACTCACTTCCAAAGACTACTTCATATGGAATTCAACAGGTACTGCCCCGGTAGCCTCCGGACAGACGATGATGTAGCACAGAACCTCGGCGGGACGGTACATTCACAAGACTGAAAACACTGTGCTCGGTTATATTCATCTGTTGCTCTCCTGTTTAACTGGAGGGAAAGATACAAGACTGAAACACATATTAATTAACATTCACGTGTAATTCACTAAGTCCAAACTTTGGCTGGAAGAAGTGTTTGTTATGTTGATGGGTAACTGTTTCATAAAGAAAAAATACCTGCCCCCGCATTTCAACTTCTTTTATCCCCCTGCCTTCACCCTCCCTCCACATTTATCCCATTTCAGACACAAGGGCCACCCCTTGCTCTGACAGTCCCACTTCAGTGACTCTCCATCAGCCGGATAATTAGCAGCTGGGGCCTTGTCATCAGCTGTTGTAGGCCCGGTGGAGAGGGGCGGCAGGACTGTGAAAGGCCAGGCTGCTCTGGCCAGTGTCTTGGCTACAAAAGGCTTCTCTTTAGAGCTGGCAGGAGTCCTTACCCACACCAATCACTCGCCCACCCCCACCTCCTCCTCCTCTTTTGACCCCATCCTCGTCCTGTCAACTAGTGGCTAGTTCAAACACACAAGCAGGCTGTGATTGAGCGCTGACCCTCTGGCCCTCTGAGACTTTAAAGCAGCCGGTCCCATTCAGTGAGCAGGACCTGCCTAATTGGTGAAAAAGTCACAAGGACGGTAATGGTCGGTCTGCCTGTCGAGGTTGCAGAGGTGCTTCAACTCAATTAATGTGGAACTTAAAGTCGATGATTCTGATCTTCATTCATGCAGCACGATCTTCAAGGTAGACCTGCTTTTATGTTTGATGCTGAAAGAAAACCTGGTTTGTTCTCCACAGTTTGCCCTACCTGAACTATGCATGTTACTATGCAGCATTTCTACCACATGAGCTCCACCTCAGTGTATTAAGTTGAATGAATAACTAGTCGACGAAGGGTTAAATCACAGGAGATTGTGCCCCACTATTCCACGGCAGCCAGACTCCTCTGAGTGGCCTCATTGTCTGCTGTTGGCCTCTTGTGCCCCTTGCTGGTCCAAATGCTACATTCTCACGTGGATTTCCACTCAGAAGGCTGACCATGACCAATCCTCTGTCAATTGGAACCAATTGCTCACACGGCATCCTTCACCTTCTTTTTATGTAGCAGTACGGAGTGGCAGACACCGAGACCTCTCGGCTCTCCCCCTCCACGATGATTTGGCTTTAAGGCCCAGTGTGTGTGGCTAGCGAACTGGAAAAGGAGAAGTTTTTTTGAAGAGTTGGGCCACTCTAAATCTCCTCAGTGTCCCAATATGTGGTCAGTCTGGCTCCTCAAGTCTGCAGTCAGTGGCCTCTCACTGGCAGACTTTGCTTTGTTGATTGAATAGCTCGCTAAGTAGGTGGACTCGTTTTAATGTGCTTCTCTGCTCCGGTGCCTCCAGTCCATACCTTTTGGGCTTTTACTAGCACTGTTTTTTTTTTTTCACAATCATCCATTTATTTCATCTTTGTTTACTGTTGTTGACAAGAAAAGAACAGTTTTGTACAGCAATCAGAATAAAGATCACACGGTCGAAATGGATTCGTGAGAGCGGAGCAGCATGGTGGGTTGTTACGAATCATTTACAAATCTTGTAATGATGTTTAGCTGTAAATGTTTAAACTGATTTTTTTACTAAAAGGTTTTCCACACCAAAACATTTGATTAACTATTACACACGCCGCGACTGTTATCCACTTAACTGTGGAAGTTCATCCACTGTGTCCCTCAGCACAATCATGACACCCAGTGGCAGAGCACAATAAAAGTTCAGATTGTCGTGATTTGTCGAATGCATTTTAATGCGCGTTTCTTTTATTGAAATTACTCAACCTCCGCCAGATTATCTGCGCTGATTTAATTCCCCCCCCCACCACCCCTGCTGTGTGATGTGATCCCAGCGGTGTTCATCTGAGGCGTCGTGCCTGAGGACCGGGCTTTTGTCAGCCGCTGTGGCCCCAGGTGTTTGGTAGGGGTCCAGTTCCTCTCAGCCTCTCTAAGTCCGCCTAAGAGCCGGCCTCGGGGAGACCACTTCAAGAATGATGGTGCAATTAGCAGTTTCCTGTTTTCAGTCTGATTATTCTTCAAGAGGCTTTTATTTGCTTTCAAAAAAAAAAAAGACAGGATATGTTTGGACACTGAAGGATTCTTTTGTGCCGGTCTCTTTACCCGGTATCCAATAATAGACCTGCAGCTTCAAAGCTAGCCGGTCCAAATCCTGACTCTTTGAACTGAGTTTAAAGTTTATTTTTTTGAAGTTTGCTATCAGTGTTGTAGAATTCTTGATGAGCTTCAGGTTTCATTAGGTTCAACAGGAAGATTTCTTACGTCAGTGCATCACTTTCACCCATAGAGGGCACCATAAACTTAGAAATACGTCCAGAACATGAGGAGTTTTGGATCATCATGTTCAGTTTGGTGCCTTAACCATAAAAGACCATCCTGTATATGAGGACGATCATTTCAGAAAACTTGACTTTATTATTGTAAGTTTGTCTTGGTCCAATGGTGCAATAACTGTTTAGTAATTAATTAGCATCACCTGACTTTAGCTCTCTTCTAATCCTGATTACTGAATACAAAAAAGTGTTCTTACTCCAGCTTACAGTCCAAGATCCCTGGTGCTCCTCTTATCCTCCCAGTCTGACAGCTTCAAGCAGATTCAGCCCACATCCAGCCACCCGTCTGCTCTTTCTCCTTTCACCTGGTGGGTTTTTGTCTAAAAAAAAAAGTCCTCTATATCCAGTTTGTTGAACAGTTGAAGAGTTCATTTGCAAAAACAGATAACTCCATGTTTGTATATTTTAAGAAAACTTTTTTTTGTTGTTGTTTGCTTGAGATAATATCAATCAAACTGAAGCTGAGTGGATTTGACTCAGTAGAAATAGAGATAACTGAAGTTTGATTGATGTTGTCTCAGGTAGACGATGGGACAGTGGGTTTGTGAAGATGGAGTTATCTGTTTTTGCAAATGAACTCTTTGATTCTTTCTGCTTTTCTGTTTTTAAGACCACGAGCTCGATCTTCTTTGATCGTTTCATCTACAATGCACGGAAGCTGTTTGTTCGGCTCATCACTGTGTCTCTTCACCAAAGAGAGGTTTTGGTTCCAGGAGGCAGTTGGGGTCCAAACATTTTCCTGTGGTCTCATCCCAGAAGATGTCCCTCTCTGTGGGTCTTCTCACGAGTTTCAGCCTCTGGATCCCTCCTGCATCGGGACCTCCAACTGAAAGGCCAAATAAAAATGAGTCAATACACCAGATATAGTTGGCATCAGGTTTATCTGTATAGATGTGAAGATGATCATTTGTGAGCCTGCCGGTGGCTTTGTAGACAACTTTATGTCTTCTCTTGTCTCTGGCTTGTCTGAGCCGATGCTGATGAGCTATCTGGGCCTCCAGAAACCCTCCCTAGAAAGGCCACAAGAAAGTGTTGGAAAGTTCATTTACTCGACTAGTATTTAAAATATTTTTATTTTACTGGGCTGTTTGAGGTGTTAATGTCATACTTCTGTTCTACCACATTTCAGAGGGAATTTCTTTTACATCACTACCTTTAGTTTCTTTTGAGGTTTTGATTTTATACAAACATATGTATGGACTAGTAAGAGTGCCAAATTACAAAATAAATCAATAGAAGAATAATGAAATAAAAGTGGAAATAAAAAGAAGAATAAATGAAATAAAAAATAAATAATGTGGCAATAAAAGGCAATATTAATCAAAAATGAAAGAAAAGGTGAACAAAAGTAGAAATATAAAGACAAATATATAATAATAAACATAATAATAGATAATTTTTATTACTTTTTATGTTTATTTTTATTATTATTTATTATTAATTTTTTTAATTTACTTTTTAAAAATATTTTTAACATGTATTATTTTTTAAATTATTTTTCTATTTTTATTTGTTTTATTTTTTTTATTTTATTTATTCTTCTCTTTTATTTCCACATTTATTTTATTATTCTTTTATTGACTTATTTTTGTAATTTGGCACTTTCACCACTCCATACATGTGACATATAAAATGTAATGAACTGTTCCAGATTAAAATACTAGTTGGTACGCGCTCCCTTTTAAAAAGCGATGTCTGATTGGAGGTATTAGTTGTCAGTAAGTACACAAAAGAACAATTTCACCTCTTCTAGGATGGTTCAATACAAATTCAAATGGTTTGATGCACATAGATGTCTAATTGTTCAAAATTTTGCCAAAAATAACAATCACTAAGTTGCATATAGAATAGTTCATCAGTATTTAAAATGCAATCACATGCAAGTACAAGTACTTTGCTTCAAATACCTGTAGTTTAAACTCAAGTCAAATTTAAAATGCAGATCTTTTATGTTGTTGTTCTAGTATTTTTACTTACTAAATTCCACCCCTGCGATAAACACCCACTTATAACCATATGACGTTACTGTGTGTGATCTCCAGGAGTTGTAACTGATGAAGCGTTTTCCTGCTGATGGAGGTGAATTTAAAGCAAACTGTTCTCCTGGAAGAATCATGGGACTGTTAACACTGTGCTTCTCTTTGTGTCGACAAGTTTGTATCTAATGGTTGGGACTTTTCTGTTCCCTGTACCCTGAAAATAGAACCCGTGGAGGGCCAGTCATGGCTGCAGACCACCCTACTTTCCACTCCACCGGCACTTTAATCAGATCCGCTGGGAGAGGAGAGGAAGGGCTCACAGCTGTCTCTCTCCTTCTCTTCCTTTCCACCCCATCTTCCCTCTTCTCTCTCTCTTAAGCACTGCTGCACAATTTTTCAATGTAAAAATGTATGATCTGAATTATTGATGTTACAGAAGCACTCCAACCCTTCCATACTTTGTCCAGATGCTTTACCTGAATCATTCTGCTGGTGCCTGTCTGGCCGGTTGTAAAAAGCTGGTGGACATCCCCATCTCTGCGGTTCCTGTCCTACAACAAACATTGAAATTCCTTATTGGCTTCTGAGAAGGTACGGGGGTGATACTGGGACAGTCAGGAGAGATGTTTTTTTTATTTTATTACCATGGCAGTTTGATTGGCAGCGCGTGCGTGGCCAATTTGAAGGGCCAGCGGTTGCAGTGCCTGAGGAGAGATAATGATGGGATGTCTGGGTAAAAATCACAAGCCGTCAGAACCAATAATGCTAAATTATGTCTCCCGGAGTCCCAACGCGGGATTGAACAGATGAGAAACTTCCCGTGTGAAGCAGAGAATATAGCCTGTTGTAGTTAAGTGTATTAGGCAGCAGGATCGGTTGGCCGTGCTAACCTGGGCTCTTCTGGGTGGATGAGAGTGAATGATGCTCGAATTGGCGCTTTGTTTTGAAAGGAAGGTTCCTGCAGGGTTTGGTTCTTACAGCACACACATGCACACACAATGAGGGATGGGTTAAAAACAAAAAATCAATCAAAGCATGTGGGAGTGCAAAAGTTGGCACAGACTGACCTGAGAGTAAAGACAGAGTTATTTCTTGTTTCAGTGGAGGCAAAGTTGTCTTCTTCCGTCCCACAGATCCTGATGGCTGCTCCGTCGTCAGCGGTAGAGCAGGAAGGGTCCACTGTGGTTTGGATTCATCTCCGTTTTCTTGCAAGCTATTACATGATGGGGCCACTTTACGCAATCTGGGTCTGGAGTCTGTGGAGCCCATTGTCCTGGTTTCTATCCATAAAGGCTGACACACTAAGATGCTTCTGCTCCAGTACGAGTTGTGAAGTTCATCAGCTAAAATATCTTTCTTAAAGTTGGGTGTTATTTCTAATGTTTTCTCATGAGGTTTCTGTCACCGTAGATCCACTACACCTAGTCTAGATGTAAAGTCTCTGCGGCTTTTTTGGCCTGTCCAATAAAAAAAACCTCATCAGAATAACTTTTACCTCGACACATTTGTTCCAGCGGCAAAACCTCTTCCACATCTCCCCCGCTGGCAAACTTAATGTTTGTCCCAAAGCGTTTCTGTCTGCTGCCAAAGGACAAATGCAATTTTTTGGTTGTGGTTAAAAGAGTAGCGCGTACTCTGTCCCTGCTTTCATATCCGAGTCTCTCGTTATAATGAGCTACGTTTCTATGGCAACTCTCCCCACAGGTTACTCTGTAACTCATAAGTTAATGCCTGAAAGAGCCTGTTATTTCCTTGCAACCCCCCCTCTTTGCTATCTGAAAGCCCCAGAGGGACGAGGAGAGAGGCAGGTTCGTCGGAAAGTTGCTAACTGACTGAAAAATAAGACTCCAGAAGTGCTCGTGAAAGCACAGCGGATCACACTAGTCGGGTTGTAGTCGTGCAGCGTGTCTGTGATTACTTACAAGACAGTTCCTCCCTTTATATAGTTCATTTTTTGATATTGTGGTTCTTAGACACATGATTGCTCAAAGCATGGCAGTCTGTTGTTCCACTGTTTTGATCTGTTAGATGCTGTAAGATTTTGCAGAGATGTTCATGGTTCCCAGAGGATGAGTCCTACATCAAAAGTAGGAGGTTAATAGTTTTAGTTTTTACCAAAATATTCTGGTTCAGTTTGACCTATATTGATATTCCCAGCGGCATCATAGAGTTGCATGGCTGGAGACGCTCTGTCCTGTTATTAGTTCAATTATTTTCCATTTTTCCAGCAGCTTAAGACACCTTTTTGGTTTTCTTTGTTGTTGTATGTTTCAAAAACTGATTTCGGAGCCATTTTCCTGCAAAAAAACGACAACCGACATTTAAATCTTGCAGAAGGTTTTGTGATTCTTCCTCTTATTTTGTTATCTCCCCTTTCTAAGAACTGTCACCAGAGCAGGAGTTTGGGTTGGCCATTCCAGACCCCCTTCTGATTAATGCCTTCTATCAGCATCCAGCTCCATGCCAGTGGCCATTACAATTAAGATTTGAACATTATACATTTCCTTTGCTTCTTCTAGCTCATTTATTTTATTGTGCTAAAATGCCACCACAACTGAAGCTGTCATTTCAGCAAATGCTTCATTAGAGGTCTCGACTCGCTGACTGCACTCCACCATAACAGCACTCTGGTGTGACTCCTGGGACTCTGTGTGTGTGTGTGTGTGTGTGTGTGTGTGTGTGTGTGTGTGTGAGTGAAAGCGAGCGATGGGGAAAGACTGAGAAATTATTCCACCGACACCCTCATCATCTCAACAGCACTATTTGGACCAAAATGAAATTTTGTCACCACGTTATGCGAGACTAGAAAGTCATTCTGACGAGTGCCGACCACATCGCTGTGCTCGGCGGGCAAACGTGTCCTGCGGGCTTCGACCATTGCCAGGCGCTTATGCGTTTTTACCACCAGCTGTGTGTATCTGTGAAAGAGGATGAATTAGAGCGAGTTCTCTCCTCTGCCTGCTGCCTTCATGTGTGTGTGTCAGTAAGAGCAGCAGAGAAAAGCGCAGCATAATATACTGTCGCGAGGAGACTTCTGCAAAGTCATCGCTGCCAAATCAATGCAATGCACTTTGCAGATTACTAATATTATATAAATCACATTACTTAGTTCTGCTAAAAATACTTGGCCGTAATGCAGGTATGAGGTCGAAGCAACAATAGTCGGATATGAGGATGTGAGCCTCCCTTTAACCTGCTTCATATTAAAATATGTGTCTTAGGAAGGATGCGCCATACAGTCCAGAAAATGTGTATTAAACCGTAAATATTAACCTACTACAAGCCCTTAAATATATATCATGCCTTTGAGAGTTCTGTTTATACATGTGTAGATTATAAGCTAAATTAATTCTGTCTGTTCTGCAAGATCTGCCTTCTTTTGCTCTTTGTAAAGGTTCTTTCCTACTGTTTATATTTTGCAGTGTTCTTTCTGATCCACACCAACAGTCTGAGGTGTATAATGTGTATTTTAATCGTAGCAAGTTAACTTACCCACTACATCTAATTCAGTGTCCTAAACCTCTGGATACTGATAGTACTAAGCTCCTCTTCTTGTACTTCTAGACCTGTGGTTCTCAAACTGGGGCTCGGGACCCCCATGGTTGTCCCAAGATAATTTCAAGGGGTCACCAGATCATTGTAAAATAAATAAAGAAATAAAAATAAAGCCTACATTTATCAAATAAATGTGTATAAGGGCTGTCAAAATTAAAAGTGTATGCTTCTTCCCACTCTTTTTTCAAACTTGTTAATATTATGATCTGATTATGTGATATTTTTTATTCTTTTTTACTATTTTTAAAATGATTTTCTTTTGTTTTTATACATTTTTTCCTTTCGTTTGTTCAAAATAAATTCAATTCATTAATTAATTAATGTGTTAATGTAAAGAGATTAATTTGTGGAGTTAACACATTAATTTTTAACACCTTAATTCATTAAGTTATTACTCATGACGTATTAAAAATTCAAACTGGGGGGTCACGAACACAAACTGATGTTCTCTTGGGGGTCGTGGCTCATAAAGTTTGGGAACCGCTGTTCTAGACCATCTTGGCTGAGCTTCCAGTATCCTGAGGACACGATGGCAGCTGCAGTCGTCCAGCAATGTATGCATCTGTGTAAATTCAGACGCATTTGACAAAGTTATGGCTCACAAATCGAACACATTTCGAAAATGTCATTAAATAACTTGCACAGAATTGATTTAGACCAGCGACACGCTGCTTTTATGAGGGTTTTCAGTCTTTTATTATAAAACCAAAAGAGCCTGTACATTACGCATAGTATAATTGCCATTCTTGTATATAATACTATTTAGTAAGACTTAAAATTAATACTCTTATCGATACAGATCTAAATAAATATCATAAATATGTAGAAGATTGAGCCAAACTGGCCCCGCCAATATTTATATTCACAGAATACAGTCCGCAGAGCATGTCAGGGGGAAGCCAGTCAGCTCTTGGTTTGGGTGCGTGCGAGGGATGGAGCGTGGCAAGTAGTTCAAGAAAGTAAATAACACTTTCAACCCTTTGCAGTTTGCATGATCCGTAAAAGTCCTCCTCCTGCTGTGAAGTGACAGAGCCAGAGGTACATCTCCAGAGTGAAGTTCAAGATGATACTTCTTGTCCTCCTGGTTGTTGCGTCCATGTTGACTGAACATCCTGCTACACCTCCAGGATGTTCTCCGGAGGAACACGAGTTAGCAGAGGTTGACGTCAGAGCTCAGCCGTGTCACGCCAGGGGAATGGAGACGGTGCCGTTCGCTCGACTGCGGCTCCGAGTGTTGACGCTGGACTCGGTGAGCTCCTCGCCGTGCTCCTCCGACTTCTTGTCCGCAATGGTGGCCAGAAAACGCAGCGTGACCGAGTCCCACTCCTCCGGCAGCAGCAGCAGCAGGAAGCCCAGGCAGATGATGCAGGTGGCTGCCAGGCGCACCACGCTGAAGATCACCTCATGTTTCAAGACGTCTACGGCTGCAGCGAGAAAAAGACAGACGGGGAAAAAAGAGGGAGCCAAAGAGCAGGACAGGGGAAAGACGGTGGCGGGGGGGGCAAAGAAAAACAAATTGAGATTAATTACATAAAGTAAGATAAACCACAGGACACTGCGGCTGTAGGGGATGAGTGGAGCAAATGCAGATTGTAATCAGCACAAGCGATCCACTTTATCCTCTGTGTCTTTGCGGTCTGGGGCCCTGGGACGACTCGCCGTAACCCACTGACCTTCATACAGTCCGTCGCAGTTTAAGAAAAGAACTTGTCTGCAGGCATTTAGTGTCGCCTTGGCAACCCGATCCTCCCTCAGCGAGAGGATAGTTGCAGGGTCTGTTGAGGCACACTGATGATTGGGTTTCCAGGATGAGCGAGGCAGACTTGCTGTGTAATCTGTTTGCTACAGTGGCCCTAAGTGCTGACCTCTCAGTACACGACCACAGCTTGTGTGGCCGTTTACTCTCTTTTCTTTTTTCTTTTCCACGATCATATTCATTTACAGCATAATAATCAAGAAAGCCTAATCAGTAAATTGGAGGGAACACTTGAAGGAACTCTCACCTGCGTTGCCCGGCACACTGAGCAGTGTCCCTATGGAGATGAGAATGGGGTACGTCAGCACCACACCGACATGGACCAGGATGTTGAACACTGTGGAAGAAGTTGAGAATTAATCAATTAATCGTCTTCTTCATTGGCAGATTTGCAAAAATATATAAACTCTTTTTGGGCTTGCCATGAAATGTTGCACAGACATTCATACTCATACTCTGCGGATGTATCCCATAAATACTGAATGCTAAATAAACGTAAGCATGCTGCTGACTTTAGTACAGCCTCACAGGTCGCTAACATGACTGTAGTTTCTCAGTCTTGTTAATCCTGTCTGCTCTAGGTTGCTTTTCATAATTGCCACCTGAGAAAACATCTCCAAATTCAGTCAGAAAAACAGCAGCATCGCATCATCTGACAGTAGAATAGAAATCCTTTTTTTTATCCCAAAGGGGAAATTTAGTTGCTACAGCACAAAGAGTAAAGTTACCACCATAAATAAAAACTGTGGGTCAAAAATGAACCGAATAAACAACTTTGCAGAGAATGTTGAAATGTAAAAAGTCTCTTTATCACAATTAAGATCTGAAAAACCTCATTAAATATATATATTCTTTTACTTTCACCGAATCAAAACTATAATTTGGAGAAAGAAAAAAAAACTGAGGCTGTGAGGCTGATTTAATTGAACCTGTTTTAAAAGTTCTCAGCTGTGACTCTGCAACAGAAATTAGGCACAACAACTCCTACACATGTTTTATTCACAGCAATATTAGGCGACCTCTTCAGTTCAACCTTCAGAAGATGGCACTAATTGTGTTTTTATAACAGATACAACCTCCTCCCAGTACACGGGTTGAATAAGTTGCTTCTAATTTCACATTAAACTGAATATCTTTAGGCTGTTAGCCAGACAACACAAACAATATTTCAGCTTTAGCACTTAGAAATTAGGCTTCTGTTTTTCATTAGCATGGAATAGAAAAATAACCAATGATAGATAAGACCTTTAAACGAATTCATGATGCTTGTTTTGTTTGTGCGCTCTCACCCAGCCACAGTCCTGCCAGTCCACACAGGTACCCCCAGGGCAGCGAGGACAGAGAGCCCCAGTGCTCCACTTTGGTGAAGTAGAGGATGAGGGGCACACAGGAGATGAAGATGAGGTTGAAGAAGCCCATGGTGGAAAGAAAATGAGCCACTTCCCCGAGGTTGGCGCTGCCCAGGAACATCTTGAACAGCACCTGGAATTACAGGAAACATCAACAAACTTGCAGCTGATGTGGTGCAGACAGTCACACCTTCAGTATGTTTGTCAGTCTGACCTTATAGAGGGCTGATGTCGAGGCTGAACCCACAGCCAAAGCCACGCCCACAAAGGAATCACCGTGGAAACCATCGGCATAAGCCATCATGACGATACCAGTGATGGCCATTATGGCTGCCACAATCTGCAGATAGAGATTCAGAGCAACCGGTTACATCAGCACAGTGTTCACAAGTAATATTTTTTTAGTGTTTTCATACGGACCCGAACGCCCATGAAGCGGTCCTTCAGGACGATCCACGACAGCAGAAAGACAAAGGCCTTGTGGCAGCAGTAGAGTGCGGAGACATCAGTGGCGGTCAGCTTCTTCAAGGCTAAGAGGTACAGGTAGTTGGTCAGCGTCCACAGGATGGAGAAGGGCGCTGTCCTCTTCACGAAAAGCTTCAGAGTCATTCCATCCTCCCCAAAGAGCTTGCTGCACTCCCTGTTGGAGAGAAACGCCACAAGAGGGTCGAGTCAACGGCATCAGTGTTTGGAGGACCACGTTGCTTGACAGTCCGGTGGTTTAAAATTTGTTCCAAGTGAATGTAAAGAGCAGTAAAGTGGCGGCTACTGGAGCTTCTGTGGTAAAAGGATTACAATAGGTAATAAATTTATTTTTGTTTTGGTGACTGACCTCAACGGCATATATGTAAATGTCAATATGTCTGCTAAATATAACCATATAGCTATAGCAGGGAGACGTATTCTCTTTCCCATGGTGAAGCAGATGTTGCTCCGTTTCATGCATGAATAATATGTTTAAGAAAGTTTACCTAAATTTCTGTATGGGGGTCTGCTTCTCCCGTGTGGTAGCAACATGCCCCGAGTAGTAGATGGGGAAGAAGAGGATGTTCCAGTTGCTGCTGAACCAGGAGATGAAGAAGGGACAGGAGAATGACTGGAAAGTCAGCTTCACCACCTGAGTGGTGCCCACCCAGGAGGAGGAAACACACAGCACCATCAGCAAACCGCCCAGCACCTTCAGCGCCGCGTTGGTACATGTGTGGTAGGACCGGCTCTCTCCGCTGGTCTCGCTGCCGGGCGTCTCCGCGTGAGACTCTGAGCCATCCTCTCCTGGCGAGAGACGAGAGGAGAAAATGCTTCATGTGCAGGTGACATCTGAATGTTTGCCTGCATGACTTTAGCAGCTTTAACTTTGACACTACACACAAAATCCCACTTTATAAATCTCTGTATGTTTCCTGTACATCCACTGTGATGCTGCCTACAGGATGAGTCCCTGGCCCACGTCCAGCACATAAGCATTTATTGATCAGTCGTCCTTAGTGATCACAACCTCAGTTTGCCTTTCTTGCTGTAAAGGCACAAACGCATGAGGCGAGGCTCTGTCCCGAATGTGTCGGGTTAGCATGGCGGCTGGGCATGTCATAAATAGCTTTGTCGCCTCATGATGCAGCATTTACCGTACACCCGTTGTAGTCAGGTGTGCACAGAAACCCGATGCCTAGACAGCAAGAGTAAACCTAACCACATGACATTCCACCAGAAAGTCACGCCAACCTTGGTACACTGATGATGATGGTGATACATTATGGGATATAATGCAACATGAACATAAGGATTCAAACAGACAGATAGATGTTTTACAGGCCTTACTTTAATCTTATGCCAGTGACGCATGATACATCTGGCCCAGTGCCCTAATGGACTGCAGGAGTAAGTGGCTGGTGGACCTTAACTGTGCTCTATAATATGTGAAGTGCTGTGTGTGTGTGTGTGTGTGTGTGCGCATTTCCGGAGAGAGAGAGAGAGAGAGAGAGAGAGAGAGAGAGAGCTCAGATCCGTTCTTTACCTCTCAACAGTGTGATCAATTTACACCAGGGCAGGAATAAAAGATGACATGTGCCGGGGGCTTGCTGCCTGCGCTCCCTCTGCTAGCTCAGCACGGGAAACTCTGCCGTTTCCACCATGACTAGCATCACTAGAGAATTTGTACCAGTAGTGTCTCACTTCTGCAGTAAGCAAGGCATTTTAAAAGTGCTCATTATTGCATATGAGTGTCTTTTCTTTAACTGCAAAAGAGACCTCAGCAGGATGTCAAGCGATGGGAGTGTCGCGAGTGATGAAAGTGGATTTTTACCAAAAAGTAAATAAATGGCCCACGTGGTGCAGAGCAGCAGCGCTTTAATCAAATAAGTGATGAATGCGGGTGGCACTTTCATTTGTTTGAAATATTTAGATGCTACTCTGCATTCCCCCACAAAGAGGAGAAAATGCCACCAGACATTTAATCAAAAGTGAGCGAATAAGCGACTTCATAAAAGAACTCCAAAGTCCTGCCAAACTTCCTTTAGAAGTTTAATGAATGCATGAGATCATAGTTGGCCTCCAGCAGGAGTACTGCATTTAACTGATGGCTACAAATGTACCCAGGTGATTATAAAATGTCAAATCACAGTCACGTCAGTGCAGCGGCGGAGGAAGCACTCGGATCTTTATCTAAAATAAAAATATCGATACACGTCAAATGTAAAAACGCCCTAATGCAAGTCCTGTGTTTAAGATCTTACTTAAGTGAAATTATAGACAGCTGAATGTATTTAGTGCTCAGTAAAAATGATGCATTCTGCAAGAAACCGGTCTCTGGTAACTCTGGATGTGGTGTCAGATTTTACATTCCTGATGCATCAGTGTGTTGCAGCATTTTGGTGATGTGGCTGCTTTTCACGATCATTTCTATGAAGTCACAGTTGACAGTTTAATGCAGTGGTTTCCTGAGACAATGCGTGAAATGGGGAAAAAAGATTTATATATGAAGAGTTTATTCGAGAGAACAGATAACTACATTTTTGTAGATTTTAAGAAAACTTTTTTTTGTTGTTTGCTTGAGATAAAATCAATCAAACTGAAGTTGAGTGGATTTGACTCAGTAGAAATGACAAAAATAGAGATTTAATTGATATTAGACGATGGAAAAGTGGGTTTTCTGAAGGTTTGTGAAGATGGAGTTATCTGTTTTTGCAAATTAACTCTTCATATATATTTATATATTATATTTATTATTTGCTTTTATTGGAGCATTCTCTAATATTTGTGATCCTGCATCAATTTAGCTCCTGGGCTTACAGCAGTTAAAGAGTTAAATGAGACCATCGCAGATTTTAAGTGGGGAATCACTCCTTGGCAGAACCTTCAACAGCTCATAAACATCTGAAACATGAAAAGGAGATCATCCATTTTCAAGTGAAGACTCATTCTGGAAAGCATCCAGTGACTGAAGCTGTCAGACGCATGTAGTGGTGCTAAAAATAGTCAAGTAGAAAGTAGCACAACATGAAAACACCAAAGTAAATGACCTTAAAGTGTACATAAATAACTATAGTCTCCAACTCTGCTTTACACCACCGGCCTTCTACAGTGCAACTGAAAATCCCCACTTATAGTTCAGTGACAAAAAAACTGCTCCGACTATTAGTAGCAATGAAAACCTTTAGCATCCAGACAATGTAAAAGTAATAATAATAACTGAGGAAGCCAGACTCACTTCTTTAAACCAGCTCTTTTGATTACAGACTGAACATGCCCTCAAAAAAAACTCGCAGATAAAAGCCTCAGATAAAACGTTTAACCTCACAGTTCCTCCCAGATGACAGCAGATTTGCAGTATGTAGTGAAAGCAAAATGCTCAACACCGATACAGTTTTGTTTCTGCGGGATCATTGGGGGATTTGGTCTAATTACATTCTGTCACAGCGAGGATTCTCAATCAACCTAATGAGGCTGCCGGTTGCTAACTGGAAAAAATGAGATCTGATATTTCTGCAAGAGAGAGGCAGCTTTTTTCTTTTTCTTTTTAAATCATTCCTTTTTTTTTTTTTCTTTATGTCTGCTTTTCTTCATCCACCGAGCAAGATGGTTTATATTTCATAGCGCCGACAAAACCTGGAGCTTTTAGTGTTGGATGAGAGCTCTTCTGTCCTGAGGTAAAAGCCACTACAGGCTGATCTGTTGCCAAGATGCAGTAATATTATAACGCTACTATTCCCCTGCCTCATAAAAGTAGCTCTCATGGCCAAAATTGTATTCTCATAACAGACAGTGTTATTGCTGACTAATATTGATGCTAAAAAGTTGCAAAGGAAACAATAATCGCTGCCATACGCAGGCTAACAACACAGAGAAATACCTCAGTGAAGCAGGGAGGGGAGAAAAGATTTGAGGTTAATTTCAGTTAAGTGTTTGGAAAACTGCTCAGAATCAAGGGGAGCAGTCTTAAAGTAATCAGACTTGAGCAGTATGAGCCTGGAGGGGGTTCTTTTACATCATGATCATCATTCTGGTAGGTAACAGTGAGGATAACAGCTTCACCAGATTATAAATTCTGGAGGTTTTTAAACTTAAATGTGACTAAATGCACAGATATTAAAATGCAGACTCAAACAATGCATCTCAGTATTAACAACAGGGCTGCCTAAGGAACATTTATATGTGTTTAAATTCAGGTTTGGTTTGCTCACAATGAGTAGAAATGTTTTATTTATTAATTTATTTTGGAGGTGTTTTCATTTCATTACAGTAAAGACAGCACTGCATCGGCTCATTCATTACTGCCACCCGTTTATGGAGCTCATCCACTCTGTGTGACGCAGTATGCTGCCTCGAACCTCACATTTCAATCCATTCTGTGTTTTATCCCCGCCACTGACGCTGCATGCCAGCGACGCTGATTGATGGAGCTCCGCTGAATCCAATAAGAAGCTCACAGTCGTGTCTGCGGTGTTTGTCAGGCAGTGTACTACAGGTCAAAGTCTTTATCCGAAATAGGTCAGATGATGCGATACTGATGAGGAGCTGATTAGCCGTGTCTCGCTTTAATCTTTGTTGCGAAAGTTAAAAGGTTTTTTGTGAGCTCGTGGAGTGGAGAGTAAAAAGTAGGATGAGGACAGACGAGCAGGATGCAAAAGCAGCTGACTTGGGCCTGTTTGCTTCTTCTTTTTTTTTTAAAAAACATGAGTACTGGGCCTCACGGGAGCCAAAAAAGAGCCAAACATATGCTGCTACTATCACACCTCCTGTCAACACATTTAGCTTTTCAACTCCGCCATCAGGAGACTAGAAATGATGCAAATGTGTCTTTACAGCATCCGGAGTAAAACTGTTGGAGAGTCAACTCAAAGGCTGCTTGCGTCGCCGTCTTTATAAGATATTAATTTCTGATTTGCATTCCGAGTAAAAGCAGCACAAGTAGGAAACATCCACAGCATATCACACTATCTGTATTTAACTCCATGTGATGGGAAAAACAACATGATGTCACCTGGGGCCACACAAAACAACAGCGCTTCATAGTTTTAAGCAGCCTGTCTGAGCTAATTCTGCCAGTTTTGTAGTTCATGCCAACACACACACACATAATGTACACACAGTTTAGGTATAAATGGCATCTTGGGCCTCTCTGGTTCTTTGGGTTTACCTTCAGAGATGGGGCAGGTCAGGACCTGAGTGCTGTATGAGCTGAGAGGAGCCACTCGGGCTGAGTGCTTCTTCATTCTCCACTGGGGGCACCACACAATGTCCTCCCCTGGAAGGTGTGTGACTGTGTGTTAGAGTGTAGAAGTGTGCCGGGGCTGCTGCTGCTGCTGCTGCTGCACGCTCAGCAGCTCGTCCTGCTAGCTCCGAGCATCCCCAGACTCCTGACTCCTCCGCTTCTTCTTCTTCTTCTTCTCACTCTTCGCTGCCCCCCTCCTCCTCCTCCTCCTCCTACTAGATCTCTGTCAACTCTTCAGTCTTCTTCCCAGCACTCCAGTCCCGACTCTCGGTTCCTCTCCAGCCCAGCGCTCTCACTGCTACTGGTCCTCTATCACTGTCTGTCTGGATAGTGACACAGCTCAGTGGAGATAGCTCAGTGGAAGTGCAGCGAAGTGGAGACTCTACTGTTGCACTGTCATGCCGTGATCCAGCGCTGCCACTGTCTCCAAGGGAGACTGAGCTTCAAGTGTGTGTGGCATGGTGCAATCACTACCCTCATCTCATTTCTATCCTCCCCCTCCTCTATTCTCTCTGTCTCGTTTCCCCTCCTCTTCGTTTGCTCCACAAATCAGCAGCTTTGTTTG